CTAATCTAAGGAAGGTCTTATCGTGTAGGTACAGGCTCCTTCTATGAGGCCTGCTGCACTGTATCTTTCTTCCTTTTTTTGTTAGAAGTTAGTTACAGATTCTGTTTTATGTTAGTTGGACCTGCTGCCTATATATATATACTAGGCTAATTGTATTTCATACTCAGAATAAAAAATATACTTTACATACAGAATTCCTCTCTCTCTCTCTCTCTCTAACCTAAAATCCTATTAAGAAATCTCCCATTGAGAAGGTTTATGTTAGAAGGAAGAGGGGTACAACAGGGAATTAAAACCCCATGAATTGTAACAGAATAAATAACAGGAAGGAGTTTTGTTAGATAGGAGGATAGAATATAAATAGTAGTACTTAGAGGAAGGGACATCAGATTGATCATGTAACTGAAAATAAACTGTGTAATTGATTCTGTCAAAGTCAGTTACAACTGATAGAAATCATCAATTTATAGATGACAGAGACTAACTATAAAAATTAACTAACTATAAAAATCAATTTATAGACACTAACTGATAGAAATAGTAATACTTAAAGGAAGGGGCATTGATTTCAATCAGGGACAAGACCAACAGAAAGAAGGGAAAGTTTTGAGTTGGGTTCCCCTACCTGAAATGGGCCATTACACTCAGGTGGCCCAAACACTTTAAAAAGTATCTGAATGTGATTATAAAAGTAGATTTTAAAATCTGGAGAGTATTTGGAGATCTTATTAGCCATATTACCTGTTTATTATCAACCAAAGTAGCGCTTGCAGTTGGCCTAGAAGTTCATGTAGAACAATTATGGGGGCTTCCCTATTATTTCTAATATGTGAAGCAACTAGTACATGCTTGCAGAATGGGACCAACCAGAACACAAAACTGAGATAACAGGAAAGACAAAATAAATGCTTTTCAAGAATTTGTGACCCGAAAATACATCACCTGGAATGAACTGTTAGCTTTCTTCCAGGAAGATCCAATGTGTTTCCAGGATTAGATAGCTGAATATGTGTTACAGGAACAAACCTACAAAGATGCATAAAAGAAAAAGAAAGGTTCATACAAATTAATTATTTTTTCATAAAAGGTGGTTCGCTTTTCATGTTCTAACCATGCATTAATGCTCATTAATACCTTGTACCGATACAACAAAAAGGAGAAAAGACAAAGACAAGGTGAACGAACCTGTGCATTTCATTGCAAAATGTGAGCAACGACAGCTTCCCAGAATCAGATGTAGCAACCAAAAGGTCTTTGCCCCACAGCTGCAAACAATAAAAAAGGACTAAATAAAACCCAACCTTGACAATAAAAAAAATATATATATATGCACTCACATAACATTCACAACAACAAATTTCATTCAAATCAACACAGGCAGAGACAGTGATTTCCTTAGCCAGAGTAGGGAAATGAGTAACACACCTGTGGATCACGCGCGCGAAATTTGTCATTCCAGGGCAATATGGCAAGATCTTTGATGGTGCCAAAGACAGGCTGATCACACACAGATCGCACATTCCCATCCTCATCAATAACCACCAATTCAATGGATGTTTCCTGAAACCACAAACAAACAGAAGCAACATTACATAACAAGCTCTCATAATCCTAATCCTAATCAAAATAACAGGAGCAAGTGATAATAAGCACAGCACACAGCTTAGTTCAGTTAAACGAAGTTAATTACGCCAAAGTAAAGTCCTACAGCACGCGGCAGCAGTAACACTGATACAGAATAAGTTAGTGAGATTTGCGTCGAGGCAAATAGCAGAGAAGAACCTCACCTTGCCGAAAACGACGTCGTTGGAGGAGGGAGAACGGATGTTAGCGTGGAGAACCTGAAGAACGACGCTGCCTCTGAGAACGCACTTGGAGAGGTAGCAGCGCGAGGCGGAGGAAGACGAAGACGGACCTGACTTGGCGGAAGAGCATTCTTCTTCGGAAACCGCCATTCGCGATTAGGTTTGTTTGAGTTTATTGTATCTCTCCGCAGAAAAATTGGAGAGTCGGAATAGCGTTCATTGAGATGAAACGCGATGCACACAGTTCGAAGTGTTCAGTAGCAGATGAAGATGAACGAGAATAAGAGGGCTTTCCTTTCCCTTCCTTTCAGTTTTGCTCTGCATTCATGTCTCCCAAATACACTAGATGGGAGCAAACGGTGACACGTTATTTTTATTTTATTTTATATTGCTAGAGAAAAAGACACTCACCGTCTTGTATAAAATAAAATAGAAAAAATAATATTTTCTACTATTTTAATATTTATATCAATTTTTTACATATAAAAAAATTAAGTTATTAAGAATAAAATAAGTATAAAAATTGTGACACGTAATCCTCTATTAGTATAGATTACATCACTCTATTTATCCTATTAGTGCCGTATATTTTGTGTTCATGGTTTCTCTGTTGAGTTTTATAAAATCTTGTTGATTCAATGTTCGTCAAAATATATATATATATATATATATATAAAAGAATCTTTTTACTCTATCAATGAGTATACATAAACTTATTTTTTTTTAATAATTTATGTTCTATATTAATTTTTAAGATTTAACTATTAAATTTAAAATCTTTAATATATAAATCAAGTTTACAAATTTTAAAAAAAAATTAAAAATTATTTAATATTTTATTTTATTAATTTAAATAATTTATAAAATGATTTTACGATTTTATAATAGGTTAATCAACCAAAATAGCTCATCCTTTCACTCCATGAATATGATGATCAATTCTAATATTTAAATCTTTTCTTGAAGTTATTACAAAAGTTACAAAACTCATTGTTACAAAAAAAAATGTTTCTCAAATAGTATTTTCAAAAAATATATCACAAAGATTTAGGTCTTTCTATTCTAAGTGTGAAAATTATATATATGAATTTTCTGACATAAATACTCAATTATTTACATGGATAATTTAATATTTTACTTTTAGCAAATTTGAAAACTAATCAATGACAAATTAATTGATTATTTTGAAAAATAATTAATTATTCCAAAAATTAGTTTTTGGAATAATCAATTATTTTATTGAATAATCGATTATTACAATAACCATTTCTCAAATTATTAAAAAAATATAGTAAATAATCGATTATTACTTAAGATAATCGCTTATTTTAAGTGAAAACTCAATATCTCAATTTTCATACCATTTATCTGTACTAATCAATTTTAAAACTTATTTTCTTCATCAATCACCATTTACATGGAGGTAAAAGGCTAAGTTACTTATCAATCACAAAGTATATAAGTAACAAAACTTTAAACACACAAACAATATACAACTTGCACTCTTTTCTTTCAAGAGACTTAAACCACAAAACAAAAATTACAAGTTGCACTCTTATCTTTCAAGTTTATTTGTAATAATCAAAATCAACGAAGACCATGTCTTCATCTTAGGCTTGATCAATAATTGTGTTGTGGATCGATATCCAATTTATTGTTGATCTAGCAAATCAAAAAAATACCTTATGTTATTAGTTTGGTAGGGTCAAGTCACTTAAATTATTTACCATATGTTACAGGATATCTTTTAGTTCAAATGCGTGATGATGCATGTAGTTGTTGTGTTGAAAATTTTGAGTTGTTGGTGTGCTAGTGTTCAAGATGATATTATGTTGTAATAGACTGAGTTATTCATGTTGATAGTGATGGTTAATTGTTGATGTACATGTTGATAGTGTTGAATGTGTTATGATGTTGATGTTATTATTCTAAGATGTGATGATGTACTATGTTGTTTATACTTTGTGATGTGTATATATTGTTTTCTTTTAATTATAACTTATCTTTACGTGTTCCCATGCAGTTTGAACTGCGACGATCATATCTTGTATGAGAATCACACATGTGTTGGATCGAGCGCTTACCACTAGGCCAAAAGCTATAGCTGATAGTCAGGGCACAACTTTTTTTACTTAAGAGCGCAGCAGCCCAAGCGCCATGATTCGACAGTGACTTGGCCCACCTAGCCTCCGCCACAGGACAATTGATGCAACCCGCAACAACATGGATAGGTGTGAATCGAGGAGTTCATCAGGTGGATGGTGAAATCATTTATATTTTTGTGCTACTACTTTGTAGTACCTTGTATAAGAGTTATTTGACTGATAACTTAAATTATATAATTTACTTATATTGAATTATTGTATCTATATTGCATATATTTGTATAATTATTTTATTTTTATATACACAATATATATAGTACACATTCACACACACACATATATATATATATTAGGGGAATGCTAATATACTCCCACCTATTTTTTAGTGGGAATATGTTAGCAACTTACACAAAAATTTTAGGACAAAAAAATCACTCATTTATTTTGATTTGGTTAATTTGTATAAAAGATATTATAGTAATTTAATTTAATTTTAAATAAAAATAAAATATTTTCTCTTTCTTATTAACTTCATTTTCTAAGCTATTTCTCTCTCTTATTAAATTCCTTCTCCAACTCATTTATCTTTTTTATTAAATTTTTTCTATAACTTATTTATCTCTCTCCTATTAAATTTTTTCTTTAACTCATTTTTCTCTCATCTCTCATGATGTTTATCCCCCCTCTCTCTGAACAAATAAAATAATTAATTAAAAAATAAATGAATTGGAGAATGAAATTAATAAGAGAGAGAAAATATTTTATTTTTATTTAAAATTAAATTAAATTATTATAATATCCTTTGTACAAATTAACCAAATCAAAATAAATGAATGGTTTTTTTGTCCTAAAATTTTGGTATAAGTTGCTAACATACTCCACTAAAAAATAGGTAGGAGTATATTACCATTTCCCATATATATATATAGGGAGCATATAAAGTGAGAGAATTTATTATGAGAGATGAGAGGGTTAAAATATAACCCTTAGATTAATTTTCTCTCACTTGATTAAATCCCAAATTTTCTCAAACCAGTCTAACACTTAGTAAAAGTTACACCGATGTTATTATAATCTCCCTATATATATATATATTATATATATATATATATATATAATTTTAAGTTAGTAATCGTTCTGATGTTAGATGCCAAATTATTAAATATAGAGGTTACGGTGCTTTCTTTCCTCCCAATCTAACCATGCTGTTTTCTTTTTTGGATTCCTTCACCAATTTGTCGTACAATGAAAAGAATAATTCTCAACTTCCTTCGGTTTTCCTTCCGAATACAGAGGGTTTCCATTGGGTTAATTGGAACAATAATACTTATTTAGAATACAAAATATGAAGGGGACTTGACATTAGGACTTTTTATGGTTGAAGTGTTTAGTAGTCCATTCAGAGTGTCAAAAGTAATGCAACTTCTTTATATGTTAGGCATGGAATAATTAAAGCTATTAAAAAATTATTGGATGACTTCAACTTAAGATCTGGGCAAGGCGATATTTTCATTTGAAGCTAAATGGTAAGACGACGGTCCATGAGGTATCATACATGCATATAAGTCGCACAAATCTTTCCCTTAACAACATCGCACATATTAATTACTAAACCAAATGGAAATATCGTTCCACTCAAGTCTAAATTCGAAGCCACCCAATAATTTAACCTTGGCTTCAATTATTCCATGACAAACATATAAAGAAGTTTAATTATTTTTAACTCTCAAGAGGGAGGGACTTGTTAAATATTTGTGGGATCACACTTGGACCCAATGACAAAACCAAAACCGGAGACTCTGTGAGACATTAAAGATAACTGATTCAAATATATAAAATTAAGAAAATTAAAATTAAAATTTTAAGATATTTATTTGTAATGAAATTAAGAGTGTGTGCTTGGATATATTATCTCTATTTCTAATTGTAAATAATATAAGACAAAATCATTAAGACAAAAAAGAAAGTAATTAAGTTGGATGTTTTAATTAATTTTTCTATAAATTCCAATTTTATGCTAAAGATATTATTTGTTTTAAGTGGTTGTTATATTTAATGTTAATTATATATTAATGTATAGAAAATATAGTTAACAATTGATTAAGAGTATAAAATAAAAATTTACCTGAAATAACTTTAAAATTTTAATAATTGTCTTTAGTAATTAAAATTAGAGAAAATTAATTTATTACTTATAATTAGGATATTGTTGTGCAATACATGGATTACCACATATATACACATGTGTATACATTGGTGAAATATTGTCCGTTTTGGGTTTTGTTTTTGAACATCACTCAAAAGGCCTCTCAACCAATGGAGACAATTGTGTGTATATAAATTCAAATTTATCCTCTTATTTGAATGGTGTGGGACTTTGTTTATATCCCAACACACACATATATATAAATATATAATATAAAATTAAAGATGGTAAAAAAAATCAGATATCTATTATTATGCAGATAACTCGATGTTTTCATTCATACTTAAATTATTTGAGATAGTTGCTTCAACATTTCATTAAATTTTCACTTTTGTTTTATTTTATTTTTTTCATAAAATCAAGTTTTTTTACACCTCTTCAGCTTTTTTGTGAGTAGTTTTTTTTTGGATACATAAAATGACAAAGGAAATTATAGCAAAATGTCGTGTAAGTTAAAAATTCATACTCAAGCCTTCAATCATCTTTAAATATACATTCTTCATTAATGACTTTGAAACAAGAGACAGAAATATTACTTCTATAGTTTCATTGGATAGTTAGTGCTTAGTATTTTGATTTATATAAAAATTACCTTTTTATTCTATTATTAAATATTATAATTTATTGATTAAAAAAGTTAGACATGTTAATTTTTTTATGTTTTTTTTTTCTACATCCAACGTATTTACTGTTTAGACATTCTAGCTTCTTGTAGGATCCTAATATATATTCCTACAAACTTACGTGGCAAAGGATATATTTTAGAGTTTAATATGGTTGTACTGATCCACTGTTAGTACAAAAAAAGTTGTATATTATAAATCAATTATAAATCAATCATAAATCAATGTTTATATAATTTTTAAGATAATCATTATCAAAGTTAATAAATTTATTATTTATAATAATTTATGATTAAATAATTGTATAAAACTAATACATCATTTTTTTATATCATATTTTTATGCTTAATTTGATATTTGGATGATGTTATGTAGATGGAATTTTCTTTTTGGTTTTTTCTTTTTTATTAATTCCTAGATATTTCCATATATTTTTTCTTTAATGATACCTTAGTTTTTAAATATATTTAAAATATTTTTATTATTATTGAATATGTGATCAGTCGATTAGTCAGCAGGTTAAATTAATTTGATGAGAACAAAACAAAAAATAATGTGATTCATTTTAATGCGGGTGAACTTGTCCAGGATCATTTAGGGGTGTTTGTAGATTGTGTTGATCAATTTTGAAGGAAAAATTATCGTGTTCAATCTCTTTAATTTTTGTTTATTAATCATTCGAATGATTTAATTTAAAACTCAAATTCAATTTAGTCCAATTTAAATATATTTTAATTTGGATTGAATAGGTTTTTGATTTTTCAAACATAGTTATAATTTTTTTATATGTAAACAAAAGTTATTAATATAATTAATAAATTAATATTAATAATAATATAACTTATAATATACAAAATTATAAATTAAAATAATCTATCAATATTTAATAACAAATAAAATCACTATCTTAAAATAAATAAGTAAATTAATAGATTTTAATTAAAAAAAAATAAAAAAGACAATAATTGGATATATAGTTTTTTTTTTATCTATTTCCTTATTACTTTATTTATTATATATACATAGAGATATTTTCATTGATAAAAAGAGATAGATATAAAAATAATATTATACAAATTGTAGAATTTTTAATTATATATGTAGTCTAAATATACCGAATTTGCTTATATACTTCCCGTCGCATCACACATGATCTTACTACATAAACTCTGTATGCATCACATTAAATCATTTTATATATTATATCTACCTCAAAATCTTATTTAATTTATTAATATTTAATGTATATTATTTACTTAATATTAATTAGGTTAAATTATACTTTATTATCCTATAATATTCAATCTATTTTTTGTTCTTTAAATTTTTTATTTCACTATCTAGTGTTTATTTATTGATGATTAAAATTATATTATTAACTATAACCTTAATTATAACCTGATATTAAATAAATAACTTAAATTAAACCTCTCAATTCCTTAACTTATCTGTTAAAAGTGATAAAAAGATGAAAATGAAACTATGAAATATTCTTATAAAAAAACTATCATTTTCATCTATAAAGATTTCAAATCTTAAATCATTTTTATAAAAAGGGAATATGCTTTAATATTTTCTTTTTTTATTTATAGAGCGAAAAAGTATTTATTAAACACTAAAGTAATAAATATTTGATTAGTAAAAAAATTAATCAAGTTATACATGAATGAAACAAATGAAACTTAAAAGTTATATTCTGAATGAAGTTAACCAGAGTTTAACATTTATCTCATCTGAGGTAATTGTCACGTTCCTTGCTTGCTTGGTGCGATCTTGGAGGGTAGTGTAAAATGCAAGAGCCAAGAGCTACTAAATTTCTAATTTTAAGGAAATGAGAAAATAGTAAAAGTAAAATTGTATGGTCAAAAAGAAGAGTTGCCATTAAATGGAAGGGAATGAGCTCGTGGCTTTTCGCCGCCTAAAAAATCGAATGTTCCTTCAAAATTAAAAAGCCATTTTTCTTCACAATCCAACGTTTTAGATCTCAACACCCCATGTCGGTAAGGTCCCTTATTTCTGCATTTTCTTTCAACACATCCAAAATTTGCACATGAAACCTTCATGGGTCGTGTGATCATAGACTCAACTCAATTGGGTTGCATTTCCAGAAATTAGGTTGTCAAAACTTCTATTGTGTAATTTCATCTCTGACATTTAGTTTTATAATCGATTATAATGATGATGATGATGATGATATGTGAAATCATGATTTATGAAATATGTATTTAATATTGTGCATTAGATGCTGAAAATTTTCTTGTCTAATAGTCACTCACTGGATTGTACAACAATGAATTTGAAGAAATTTTTAAGTGATTTCAAAGTGTATACTATATAGTGATGATTTGTCCTCAAACTTGTTATGTCTAGATATTATCAACCATGGATATGCCTACCATCGATGTCGAGCTTGGGCCTGAGAAGCTTGAAGATGAGAAACAAGCAGGTCCCTTGTTGCATTGTGATCTCTGTGATACAGAAGTAGTTCACAAGTTGGCTCAAATGTTCCTTCCAGGTCTAGGCAGTGCTTGTGTTGATAACACATCAGGTGATCTCTTCAAGACGCCTGGTTCAGTGGCTGTTGATTTGAGAAAGGAAATGATAGAGTATGTTACCCAAAGAAGTGAGTCATTTGTTGCTGAGTCTGTTATCTTGGAAGGTGGTCCAGACGGTGAAGAATCTGACCATCCTTTTGATATCATATCTAATTTCGTTGACGATTTTGTGAGTTTGAAGAGGAATCTGTTTAGCCGGGTTTCAGGATGGCTGCTGAGTGAAAAGAGGGAAGACAAAATAGATGATTTTGTTCAAGAGATGGAAATGAATGGGTTTTGGACACTTGATAGGAGAGAAACAATTGCAGAAACTTTGCTCAAGAATGTTGACTTTGAGAACAAGTATCATTGCAGCATGAGTTTTAATTCTGCGGAAGAACTTGCCAATCATGTTGATAGCTGCAACTTTAGATCTGTGATATGCGAAAATGAGGGATGCAATTCCAGATTTTGTGCAGCTCATTTAAAGAATCATGATTCAAGTTGTCCTTTTAAGATAATTTCATGTGAACAGAAGTGTTCTGCTAGTGTTATGAGACGTGACATGGATAGGCATTGTATAACTGTTTGTCCAATGAAAATTGTAAATTGTCCTTTTTATGCAGTGGGTTGTCGGTCAGCTGTTGCACAATGTCAGATTGAAAAACATCGTTCAGATGAGATTAATTCTCACTTGTGGCACTTGCTTAAAGGCACGTACAAGGAGGCATCTGGGGATGATCTTACTCGACGAGTGGAGCAAATTGTACAGGTCAGTCGGCGTAAATAAACACTGTTTTCTAAATATTATAAGAACCTGAATTTTCACTGAAATTCAGTTTTTTTTTTCCACAATTGAAAATTTGTAAGTGTAAGCACTACTTTTGTTTGAAAAACTACTGAACTCTGAATTCATAACATTGAAAAATATTTTTGTTCTAATTATTGGGGTATGCCTATTGCTTGAGGTAGAGGGAAACCAAGAAAAACTATTGGTAAAAGCATTAAGAACATGATTCTTAATAGAACTCTAAGTTGTTGTTATTGTATTGAGGGTATACAACAAGGAATTTTGTTTCATTTGTGAAAGAGGGTCTAATGGAAGGAAATCAATATCATTAGGTAAAATGAAGAGTGTATCAATGGAGAAAGTATTGAATGTGTGGCCTCTGTTCCTTTTTCCGTGAATGTTTTCCTTTTTGTTCAGAAAACTTGAAATTTTCAATGCTGAGACTTTTTATTTTCAAACACCCATGTACGTTACATACATGCTAACAAATTTTATCATTGGTTGTGGGCTTTGGCTGTTTCCACGGCCAAATTGGCTAGTGGCACAACCTAATTAATGTTAAAAGGTAGCATTTGACAAGTTTGTACTTTTACAAACTGTACATCAATAATTGTTTACATGATGTTTTGTGCATGCTTCGTGTCCAGTTTGTATTAGTAGTTTTATACAAAAGATTTGTTTTTTTTTCCAACGTAATTTAATTGATGTAATGAAACATCCCACATTTTTTTTAAGAAATTAATCATGTTAATGTTATCTCCTTTAGACATTTGTTTTTCATGTTATCATCAAGTTTACTTCCACTAATAGAGAGAAGATTGTGGATATTAGAGAAATGTGGATATCCATCTTCTTCATTAATTGTTTCAAATTAAGCAATAGGCTTTTGCATCACCTTTTGGTCACCCCATGCAGCAACAATTATATTCGTAACAACATGATTGTGTTAGTTTTAATAATATGACTTAGTTATATGTTGGGCCATGAGTTTAAAAGTCATATTTTAATTTGTCATAGCATTGTCTTTGATAGCATGTATGAATCATGGGCTTTGGATAAGCATCGGGAAGGAGCTAGAGCTGATGTATTTGAGGCATTATCTTAATTTGATTTTAAGACCTCACTTTGCATTGGATCGTTTAAGAAAATATTTTGATAGTGTTTGGCACACGTCAACAAAATGAAATGGAATGGTTCAGTTCCCCAGTTTCAGCCCTCTTAGTAGAATCAACATGTACTACTTTTTAACCCTGTGTCTGTGGCCCCATTTTGTTTTATTTTTAGAATACATTAAACATAAAATAGAACTCGTGTCATTTTCTGTCCTATTCTAATATGTAGCCCATCACAGCACATGGACATTCTGAGGCTATTTGGCTAATTTTGTGTTTGTAATTGTAGCTATTAAACATTTCTGAGGTCATTTCCTTTCATAAACATAATAAAGTTATTGTCCAAACCAAGAGTTTGAGGCAATAAATTTGGTTTTATCTTGGAGTTGATAGGCTTAATTTGTTTCTTCAAATCATCCATTAGTGTAGACATGAAATTGTTGACTTTTATCATCAGTACCATTTATTTTGCCTATTATTTGGGAAGTGATACTCTATTTCTTTGTTATAAATTATAATGAGTATTCAAATTTTTAGTTTCATGTGATAGGCATCATCAGGCAACCGTTTAGCAGAGGCTCGGGATGTTAGATCTTTGAACTTCATTGTCAAGGATATTGAGGCTAAGCTAGGACCTTTCGAAATGACTCCTGTAGAGAAAAATAGTGCGGTGACTGTTGCCAAGGATGGTGATAAGGAAGGTGGTGAGACTGATACAATTGTCAGTGAAAGGAGCATGAAGGCTTCAGATGTTAATTCATCAGATAAAGCTGAAGTGAGTGACATGGTGAACATGAATAATGCAGAGAATACCACTAAGAATGAAGGTAGTGAACTTAGTCCTGTTGAAAAAAAAGGCTCTGAAGAGAGGATACAAACTTCAGATAAGGAATATTTATCTGATAAAACCGAAATTGGCCCCTTGACTGATGAGAACAAAGATGCTGCAGCTGGTGAATTAAAAATCGAGGGTAACGAAGCGAGCACTAAAAAACATATGGAAAAATTATCAAATGAAGAAGTTAGTGCCAAAAATGAGGCCAGTGCAGATAATAGCATCAAATTAAAATCTAATGAAGACAGTAAATTCGAAGATAAGGACAAAGAACAGAGGATAGACAATTCAGAGAAGGAAACTAAGGATGGTGCAGAGAATAATGTTGAGAACAAAGAAAGTGGAGGTGATGAGTTGAAAAAGAACATACACACTTCAGAAGTAACTAAGAGTGGTGCAGAGAATAATGTTGAGAACAAAGAAAGTGGAAGTGATGAGTTGAAAAAGAACATACACACTTCAGAAGTAACTAAGAGTGGTGCAGAGAATAATGTTGAGAACAAAGAAAGTGGAAGTGATGAGTTGAAAAAGAACATACACACTTCAGAAGTAACTAAGGGTGGTGCAGAAAATAATGTTGAGAATAAAGAAAGTGGAGGTGATGAATTGAAAAAGAGCATACACACTTCAGAAGTAACTAAGGGTGGTGCACAGAATAATGTTAAGAACAAAGAAAGTGAAGATGATGACTTGAAAAAGAGCACAAACACTTTAGAAGTGTAAAATTTATCAAACAAAGTTGCATGGAAGGGGATGTACTGTGGATAGTAATATCACTTGACAGGCAAATATAGTGAAGACTTTACTTTCAATGGTGCTCTCCTGCTGTATCTCTATATATATG